GCTGTCCTGCCTCATACCGGGGATATGGCGTCCATTCGTATGGTTAAATTCTAGTGCATATGGACGCCGTCGCGGCTTCACTTATAATACTATCTCGGCATTAGGCTTGGGGGACTGAGGAAACCCACGAAAGACCTTAGTAAGGACGTCCGATGGACGTAACGAGATTTTAGCAAAGTAGCAGGAATTCTAGCTGCCCAGCTCGCAGCGTCGTTGTAATATGTTCAAAATAAGGTGCTTATCCTTATGAGATCGTGACTTTTAATAGTGACTGTATCTTTTTCGTGTCAGGAAGTTTAATGTTTCAGTTGTCCTGTAACAAAACGTGTGAAACTGTTTATTTTTAAGTGGAAGTTAAAAAATTTATGGTTTTGGAGAAGTGATGTAGTCTTAAGGTATGGGACATCCAACTAAACTCTCTGGTATGGGGAGGTTTTAATGTAAACTTGAAAAATTTAAATCTGTCTGCATCTTCACATAATATACCTGAAACTCAGACGATCATAATTTAAAGTACTTCACGCTCTAGCGTGAGCGAAGAGCATCTTATGTCTGTCTGTCTAGGGTTTTATTTTTTGAATATGAATCTCACACGGCCAGGTTAGTTAATTATTGCGCACCAATGGGAGTCGAAGAAATTGTTGACCAAAAGTGACCTGCGTGATGTGGCGTGAAGAACGCTTTTGGAATGTGAGAGCACGATTTTCCAGACTTGTCTCGTTAGCATTTGAGCGATTATGCTCTGTGCTTATGCGTCTTCCAGGAATCGCCTTTATAGTGATCTGGATACGGTTCTCGCACTACTAAAGACTACGAATTCAGTGTATCACTTGACATTCCACATGCGTTATATATTCCAGTACTGAATCTCTGTATTTCAATTTCTTCCCAGCTTCCTTGCCTTCACCGTGTTTATCAGCAGGTATGGTGACTTATTTCAATAGGAAATCTTCTCTGTCTCGTTGTTTTGATTACACCTCTTTCGTTTGCAGTGACCCCTTTTGTATGTTTTGCTTCGCAATTTATGTTTTGCTTTTTCATCCCGTGTAGGAATAGGACCATTTTTTTCTGTATTAATACATGTTCTCATGCATATTGTTTGCCACACGAATACGTCTGCGTGGTTTTAATGTATTCCTTCCTCAGTATCACAAAGTATGAAGCAAGATTCAATTGTTTCCTTGTGTTTAATCTATATCTTTCTTAAAACGTGTGTATTGCCGCATCATTGTGAGGTCTGAGCATTTCACTTCCTGAGATTTTATGTTTCCACGACGACGAGAGTTCGGATTGAGGTCTTGTGGATTGTTCTACCCTCAGGATGGAGGAACTATTTCCCTCCTGAATGCTGGATCACGGTCTACAAGAATACGTGATTTTACAATCTGGAAGACCACAGTCTGATCTTACTTTCTGTTCGACTACGCCGTGTCTAGATTTGTCATTCGACTGTCATTTGTTCACGTATTTTTCGAAAGAAGTGTCTGAATCATGTCTTTGACTTCGCTTCCTCTAGAGTTCCTGAGTTTATTATCCTTCCTCATTTGTACATTTCATTTTTTACCAACCTTCCAGCAGTACTTCATTTCGCCTGTTCTACTCTCAGTTGTTTTATCGGTAATCTGATTCATTACTTTTAGATACGAAAGTCAGTCCTAGAAGCATAAAGCACGTTGTAGTCCTCTTTTTCTGTAAAAAAAAAACAATGCATGCGGTAGGATTGTGCTGTGTAGTTGTTGTGTATGCTTTACGTATTCTATTTAGCATAATTTATGTACAAGTAACGACTTAGCTGCCTGTTTCTTACCGTTCATCTTTATTCCGTTTTGAGAATTAGACTTACGTCAGCGCATTTTATTCAGTTTTGTGTCCATATAAACACGTCTTGGACACCTGCCCTCGTACCAGTAACTGGCCTTCAGACGGTTTGTAAGTCTTCATTCCTCAGACTTCTGCATGACTCAGCTTTTATTCGTGTTTAGTTTGTGTGTCTTAATTTGGATTATATTTATCAGTGTGTATTTATGTCATAGATGCTTGATATTTTATTGTTCTCGTAATATATTCTATGGCCAGAATATAACAGTAAAATAATTTAAAGATTTACGATAGCGTAGATATCCCTTTTAAATTAAATTTCTCAAATATGGTAACGTTACAATGTTTCGTACTACCAACATCAATGTAATTATTGACATTTAAATAATATTAATGTTTTTTGAGGAATGATTATGGTCTGTTTTATGTAGAAAATTTCAAATGCTTAGGTTCAATTTTTTGTTTAGTTGTAACCATAAATTTTCAAGTTAAATAATGATACGTATCTCCCTTCCGCCATGTTGTTATTTTACAATCTTGAACATACCTTTAAAAGTGTGCATATTTCTTTAAGATCTGCATTAAATGGAGCCCCCACTTAAGAAGTTTGCGCCGAAACTATGTTAGTGTTATCAAGGAACAATAAATGGGCTATAAATGTTATGTAAGAAATGTTTACCTGTTAAAAGGCATATTACGAATTGTTCCAAAGGGGCATGAGGTGGCACTGATTATTTTTAAAAATATTTAAGGGCACATGGCTGGTTGAATGACGATGTATTTCGTCTATTGAATGAGAACATTTTTAACTATTAAGAAGTTTATTAGGTCGCTGGGCGATTGGTTCATAGAAAACTTTAAAATTAATTTGGAATCATGATACCAAAAATGTTCATGTAATCGCAGTATGTTCGGGATTTAGATATTCGACCAAACTAGCCAATGACGGAGGATAACATGCTTCAACTATTGTCGCCTCTGCAGTCGGCTTATATAATGTTTGGAACAACAAAGGACGTGTATTTTTTTAAGTCCAAAAGTTCGTTTTGAGAGGTAAAGGATTACAGATTTTGAAGCTCTTATAATCAAATTACGGGCAGTCGAATTACGTTACTTTTTTTAAAAACGAAATAATCCACTTGTCATGGGAACTGTTGCATCTCTCATCCGGAGACCTCGTATAATAATGATCACTGCAGTAATTATCGATGATCAAATAGGATTAGCTGAGAATATATTTCTCTGTATTTTACTCACGTTTTTAAGGTTAGTTATTCTTGAAAAAAAATACTTTTATAAATTCTTAGCCCAAGTGGTTTATCTGCATATGTTAGGATGGGGTTGTGGCGAAAAGTAAAGTATTGATATTTATAATATTATAATGTATAATAATAGAATATTTTTAACTGGGGTGTACTTGGAGGTAATGTGCTGTAGAATGCATTGAAACTGTGGAAGGATTATATATTTGATGACTGAATTGTTAACACTTCGAGACATTAAATTCGTCTAAGTAATATTTAAGACGTTTAATCCTACCTCAAAAATGACAGCACCCGTCTCCGTTACAAAAATTAGTTGCTTAACGCTGTTTTTTGGAAATAATCGCTGTGTTCTCAGAAACCTGTTAATACGCATTTTGGAAAGAAAAAAAACGAAGTGGATATTTAAGCGTGTGGTACATGTGCCTAAGTCACAACTGTGCTTTGAATAGCTCAAAGGCAGGTAATGTCTGAAACAAAATACAAATTGTTATGTGTGATCAATCTTTGCTCTATGTCCTGTCCATGTGTTCAGCAATATTTGCGTATTAACGTGTTCTTACTACCGACCATGCAAGAGACAATGTACCCAGTTGAAAGAGGTTTGTTAAATAAATAAACATAGAGTATCGCCGACTGAGTTTCGCCGCCAACTTCTTTTGAGTTCTGGATTTTTTTTTATACTTTTTTACGATGCGCTGTTCGCCTGGAATACGGGACCCTCAAGTCTGAGAAATATTGGTCACTATAATTCTTCATATGTTAAAACCTGACATGCAAAATTTTCTATGTGTCCAGAATGTTGCATCCGATCGGATACCACGCCCGTTTTGTATTCTGAAGATCAAGGGTTCAAATCTGGGCCCAAAGACCGGGTGTCCTAAAGTATTATTTTCGTGATTTACGTCTGTCCCTCCAGACAAATTCCTTGGATAGTGCCTTTAATTAGGCCACGATAGCTTAATGTATATGTTATATTTTATTGTCTGAATCCAATATAATTCGTATTAAATTTCTTTCGAAACCTAGACATCTGAATGACTATACTTAAAATGTATTATTCAGTCATAATGTTGGCCAGTAACGTGTATAAATGCTCTTTAAATGGCATATAAAAGTGTTCATGTCAGCTTAAAAATTAAAATATTAACAATAATTATGTAATTAAATTTTGAATAAATAATAATATTTTCTTTGTAAATTAATATTTCATGAAGACTAGTGGAAGTCACTTGGCTTAATCTTCCGCGTTTCATATTGAATTTAACTGGAATCTGTAGGAAATGTTTGGCTTTTCAAGGGAAATGGCCGTGTTCATTACAGCTGGAAGGAAAAGCCAATATTACGGCATTTCTAATTACGGTGTTTCCCAGAAGCTATCAGCTATTTGTTTGTCATCGAAGATATTATGTGGGCTGTTTGCCGTGGCGGCTTCTTTGTCAGTGAAGGCGTCTCTGTCTCTTGGAGTTTGATGATGTTTGATGATGTCTGTCCATGCTTCTTTTTCAGCAGCGGTCGTTGCGAGTGACAACTCTTCTGTTTAAGGTTTCTGGTGCTGGAAGCGGCTTTCCTCTTAGAGATTAAATGTGTTACAAGCATATCCCATGTCAAAAGTTTTGGTTTCAGTGGTTAGTCGTTTACGAGAAGTTGCTGGTATCAGAAATCGCGCGTGTTTACGAGATCCCTGGCGTCATAAGCGACCGATCTGTCAGAAATTTAAAATGTCAGTGGCGGCTCGTATGCTGATATATCAGAAATGTCAAATGCCAGTGGCAACTCATGTGTTCATCTGTCAGAAATGTCAGTGATATTTCTCTATGCTAACACGTGAGAAATTGTTAATTTCAGTGGCGGCTGGTGTCAGTTGCGGTTTGGTTTATGTGTGACTGTGGATGTGACTGTGGTCCGATTTGTGTGCAGAACCGTCCCCGCTGTACGATAACAACCACTACCACGAGGAATGTCTGCGTTGCAACTCCTGCGGCCTGAACCTGACGGGCCCGAACCAGAAGAGGGCGCGTCGCTTCAAGAACCAGATCCTGTGTGACCTCCACTTCGCGGACGTGGCGCTCATGGAATGCTCCGATTTTATGCAACAACTCCGCAGTTTCAAGCCGCAGAGTCTGGGCTGTGCCGTCGCCCGGAGGAAAAGCTCGACGACACTTATTTTCCCATTGCCGCCACAAGCCTGCTCCGGTGAGTAAACGAAGGATTCGTTTAAGTTGTTTACGTGATATGGATCGTAGTACTTCTCCGGAAAAGTTCTTTGTAATTCAATTTCGTTTCGCGGAGTTACAGATTACTTAAAGACCCGATTGAAATTCAAAGTAAAAAAGCATGAAGTTTCTAGGAAATATGTTAGGATATAGGAAAGTCACTTCCGCGGTAATCTACTTGCTAATCACTTTTTTTTCGAACAAATTTTATATCCCTGAAGTCAGTGACGAGTTGTAGAAAGTTTTGCTTTAATTAAGTTACTGTTTATATTCCAGCCACTTTCTAATAATCTTTTTTTTTTTACCGTAAACTGATTTCATGTTAGTGGGGGCAATTTTAGCAGTTTCAGTTATTTAAATAGACCTCGAAACTTGTAATTTATTGGTTTGTTTTCAGATCAGGATTAAAAATAACAAAAACTTTAATAATTTAGAGAAACTGAACTAATTTCGGATAAATTTTCTCTCTTTTGCCGGACAAAGAATCATGCACATGGCTGTCTTCTGGGTTGTTGCGTCATTTGTTCAAGTTTACCGACGTTTCAGAGGTTCTTGCTGCCTCAATCATCAGAACGTCCTGATGATGGAGAATTCAAGTAATTTTATAACTGAAAATTAGACCGAGAGACATGTGAGGCGCACGGAATATGAGGAATTTATACAAATTTTGGGTCGGGGAATGTAATGGGAAAATAATTCTTGTGATATTTATCCATAATTGAGAGGTTACTATAAAAAGGGGGTCCTTAAAAATGTAATGTGAGGTTGTAAATAAGATTCGTCTGGGTCCGGAAATAAACGAACCGCGTATAAGTGAGGACCGGCCTCGTAAAGTCGAGTTGTTGCTATGAACTTAAGCGTCTAAACAAGGACTTAAGAGTCGGAGCATGAATATTGTTTGTCCTTTGAATTACTATGTTGAATTATTAAATACCTGGTAACCAATTGGTAAAAAAACTAAAAACTGTAATTTTACGAGACTGTAATTCTCTTTCCGGCGTTCATATTTACACTCATTCGTCCAAGTTAGAGCTTTGGGCTGCGTGTCGTATAATCTAATGTTCCTTCCACCTAACACGATTGGCGGCTGTGCGATCCAGTGTGTCGTGACATGCATTACGATGTGCAACGATGCAGTAATTAACCGGGCGTAATTGCGTGAGATACGGAAACTTTATAATCTCACGCCACGTGTCAATTCGTACAGAAATTGAAATAAGTTAATACGTTTGCGATAAATTAACAGTGGATAAGGAATCTTTTCGAGGGGTCCGCCCTGTTTCTTTAAGATCAACTTTAATATTATCCTCTGTTTACGATATTGTTTCCTGGGTGATCTCTACTCTTCATATTTACGGACTGAAATGAGAATGCGTTTTGCATTTCCCCACATATGTTCCGTCTGTATCGGTGTGCTTAATTTGAGCGTCTTTGTAATGTATGGAGAATATAAATTATAATGTTCGTTTCTATAAATTTCTCTAAAATGTCTTAAGTTCATAAATATAGTCTACGTTGCATTTGTTCCCCTTTCTTTCTTTGTTTCTGTCTTAATTTTTAAATATTCTTCCCGACTTGCTTATAATGCTAACATGATGTATTATTACAGATCAATTACATTTTTCATAATTTTTATCCGATAGCGGTTAGAACGCTGGCCTTGTAATCCTGGGGTCTCGGGTTCGATTCCCGGCGGTGCCCAAATTTATAACTTGTGTTGGGCAAGGCCGTGGTCTAGGCAACACGGAGTTTTCCTCCGGGGGCTTCCCCGGTTTCTCCGTGGCATCCCATTCACACACAGAAGAAGGCAATGGCAAACCACTTCTGGATCATCTGCCAAGAACGTATATGAACAGGTCCCAGTCCGAGAAAAGGATGGAAGGATCCTGTTCATATGGACCTGTCGTCAGATAGAACATTAAAAAAAATGTTTCACACAGATGTTTATAACAAGCCGTGTAACACTGCGAGATTATGATAGATCGATTGATATAAACACGTGTATGATACGTCGGAAACGTGTTGAACTCTAGTAAAATTCCGTTTCAAATAAATTGTACTTCAGCGTTTTACAATAAAATTAATTTGACAACAGTCGATGTACGAATGCGTGGTTGGTTCAGTGGAAGTATAAATTACAGCCGAAGCTTGTCCGAGAATGTCACTACACATTTGACCTCTGGTTTGTGGTTTTATGTGACGTAGATAAATCGTGACGGACGCAGATCTCGTTGATAATTCCGATATTACAATATGTATTCGGATCTTTTCATGTCAAATCGTCTTAAAATAATCTCAGTCAATTTTTTTTTTTTTAATTTTGAGGTCAAAAGAAATGAATGTACGAACAGGTTATAATAAATAATGCTTGAGAAGATTAAAATTTGGAAATATTACAGATTTTGTCTGTAGATTTTCCCCACGAACATGAATACCCCAGTTTCGTGCTAAGTTTGTTGACTCCCTCCGTCTGTCACTCCTCCCGTCTTCTTCTCCTTTGTCGCTTTTATCTACAAGTCTAATTTATCTAATATTGATTAACTAAACGACATACGTAATTAGACCTGCACGAAGAAGCAGATTTCTTAGCATTTAATCGATTAGTTAAGAAATTCCTGGCCTTGAATTGAACATTGATGCTTATGAACCATGTTTATTTAATTTATGTTTAATATTATCGTCCATTCTAATTCTGTGTTTCTCATGTGGCCTGTCATCTTCAGGTTTCACTGGTAACATTTTGCCCGAATGTCCTTATTTTCTTCCTGAGTTCAGCTTGTCGAGGAAGCGTCTGCCTCTTTAGTTTGATAACCTTAAAAATAAATAATTAAAGACAAGGAAACAAAGCCCAGAGTAGCAGAATAATGTATTTCATAGTCGCTTTCAATTTTTATATACAGTCATGCTGAATAAAAGACAAGCCTGCGACTTGCAGAATCTTACAATTTGTAATTTACGGAAAATTTTTAATTTTATTTAAGTTTTATTTAGTTTCAATGAAGAGTGGGTTGGCCTGCTGTTAGTCCAAGGTCTTAAATAATATATTTATTTTGATAATTATAAGAAATGTTGTTGGTCCCAGAGTAACGATGGAAGGGTTTGTTGAGAAGTAGGTTCAAAGACGCTAACAGAAGGTCTCGTTCTTGTTGTGAGTTGGTTTGAGAAACACGGAGAGCATATTTATTCCCTGTACATGCTGCTTTTATCCTCTCCAAATTTTATTATCAAAACTGGGGAAATTCCAATGTCTATTGGCCACGGTGGTCTAGCGGTTAGAACGCTGGCCTTGTAATCCTGGGGTCTCGGGTTTGATTCCCGGCGGTGCCCGAATTTATACCTTGTGTTGGGCAAGGCCGTGGTCTAGGCAACACGGAGTTTTCCTCCGTGGCATCCCAACAATTACTCCATTCACACACAGAAGAAGGCAAGGGCAAACCACTTCTGGATCATCTGCCAAGAACGTATATGAACAGATCCCAGTCCGAGAAAAGGATGGAAGAATCCTGTTCATATGGACCTGTCGTCACACAGAACACTAAATAAATAAAATAAAAAAATAAACACTTAACAAAATGGTGATGGTGGCCACTATGCAGCTTGAAATGGTAAATTCTGACCGTCGGTGACAGAGTGATTAACACTTAGCATTAGAGTAGTAAGTAAAATGTTATCTACATTAATGGGTTAAATGAGGTTCTACTCTACGCAGCATTCTGAAAATATTTTTACTGGAAACATAATCATTGGCACATTTCCATCCAACTTCATTTCAATTTCGTATGTCGTGCAAGCTTAAAAATAAACTATTCACAACATACAGGATCTCCGTATAGACGTATGTTCACGGACTAAAATTGTTTAATTAATATCGTATAAAGTTGTCGATAAAACTATCGATTTGATATGTTTAGAAGATACGTAACTATCTGGTTTCTTTACCCATTACGGGATAACTAAGTATTTCTTCTGACACCACGCCTTCATAAAACAAGTGTGATTTAAAAGAAGGCTACCTTCTGGGTTATATAAAAGTCTGATATCTTCTCAGAAGTTCCTGCTGCTGTTTCAACTCATTGCCCTTCTACCAGAATTCACGGTGCTACAGCCCAGAAAATTGCCGTCTACGTACTCACTACCTTAAGAACCTCAAATCCTACTAAGAGTGAATGAATAATTAATTAGTTGATATAATTGCGTCATATTGTGAATTAAAATTTAATTATTCGTGTTTTTTTTCAGTCTAATCACAATTGTATATAAATAAAATTATACATAAGATATTAAAAAATCAGATTTAAACAAATATATATTTATCACAATATGACGCAACTTTATCATCTCATTATTAGAATAAAGTGTTGCCAGAGAGGAAATATTTCTGCCACAAAAGTGGTTGAATCTAAAACAGATTACGTGTAGAATACTTCCAAGAACCAGTGATAAATGTGGGTAGGAGAGGAACGAAAGAATAAAGGGTAGGGGGTGGAAGGAAGGAGCTGAAACAGACACAAATATTTTTGTATGGTCGGATGGCCTTTAATTTTTAAAAAGAAACATTTTATTGGTTCAAACATTATTAGTGGGAGACATCTTGCGGGCGGATGAACGAACGCCCGAACGCACTATCATGATGATATATAAAGCTGTCTTTTCTTGTAAGGCTAGAAAAATGGGTTATAAAATTTTTGTGACGTTAGAAACCGTGTAGGTCAGGGGTCGGCAAAGTTTTCTTGTGGCATTTTCCACTCTCGTAAACGACGTGAAATTTGTGGTGTCACATTCTTTCGGTTTTACAACAGTCTGTTTGTAAGAAAACTCTGATTGAAGAAAAGTGCACTATCTTTGGGGTTCTGACGCTGGTTATTATTATTATTTAGTGTTCTGTCTGACGACAGGTCCATATGAACAGGATCCTTCCATCCTTTTCTCGGACTGGGACCTGTTCATATACGTTCTTGGCAGATGATCCAGAAGTGGTTT